CAAAGCGTAGGCAGCGGCAGCACCGCTCCACGATGCGGTTATCGGCACTGTGTTTGTTCAGGGTCTCCGACAAGACGGGCCAGATCTGAGGGCAGAAGGAGAGAAGGGGTTCAAGGAGCATCCCGACCACGCAACCTACCCCCGACCACACCGCCACCCTCCCTTCCCGTCCCGTCCCATCCCCCCAAAAAACTACCCCAATCTCTGCGCTGGTGATGCCGCTCCGCTCCCCGAAACGGAGAGGCACGTGCCTTACGGGACCCGTAAGGTAGGAACGAAGAGCTCGGAGCGGCGCAACGCGACGAATGGTACCGGGGCAGAGAAATCAAAGCGCTCGCGACGTTTCCAAGAGCCGCGTCCCCTTCCAGGGGTTTGAAGACCCAAATTTCCCCCCCGCCTCGTCCCCCATCCCTGGAGGGAAGGTGCTCCGCCAGCAGCTCCTCTCCCCGTCGCCGTCGGATGCGCGGAGCCGCCCGGCAGTCGGGGATTGGAACCGAACGCACCCCCGACCCCATCAATCCTCCCTCCCCCCCACTCCCCCCCAAAAGAAATTCCTTCCCCCGAAATCCCGCACGTACTTCCTGAATGACTTTTTGGCACGGATGGATCTGTCCGTTTTCTACGATGGGGTTGGTGTGTCTGTGAAAAAAAGCAGCAAAGGGTTAACGGTACTTCTTTTATTATTTTATTTTATTTTTTCCTCGAAACAGTCGGGTTTGGTGTTCAAAGCCCCCAAAAAACGGGTGTGAGCTGCCGGCGCCCGCTGAGGCGGCGGGAAAGGGGACCAAAAACTGGTTTGGAGGGAACTGGAGAAACCTTGAACTTGGGTCCTCGCCCAAACACATTGAGGAACGGGGAGTTATTGGAAGCGGTCAACGCGCGTCTACCAAGGGTAAATCATGCTTGACCAATTTGATGGCCTTCTGTGATGATGTAACTGGTTGGCTGGATGAGGGGAGAGCCGTAGATGTCATCTACCTTGACTTTAGCAAGGCTTTTGACTGTCTCCCATAACATCCTCATCAGGAAGCTGAGGAAGTGCGGGTTGGATGAGGTGACAGTGAGGTGGATCGAGAGCTGGCTGTGTGACAGGACTCAGAGGGTTGTGATCAGTGGCACGGAGTCCAGTTGGAGGCCTGTGACCAGTGGTGTCCCCCAGGGGTCGATACTCGGTCCAATTTTGTTCAATATATTCATTAACGACCTGGATGAGGGGACAGAGTGTACCCTCAGCACGTTGGCTGATGATACCAAACTGGGAGGGGTGGCTGACGCTCCAGAGGGCCGCGCTGCCATCCAGCGGGACCTGGCCAGGCTGGAGAGCTGGGCAGAGAGGAACCTCATGAGGTTCAACAAGAGCAAGTGCAGGGTCCTGCACCTGGGGAGGAAGAATGCTGGGCACCAGTATAGGTTAGGGGTGGGCCTGCTGGGAACTAGCTCTGAGGAGAAGGATTTGGGGGTCCTGCTAGACTGGAAATTACCCATGAGGCAGCAATGTGCCCTGGTGGCCAAAAAGGCCAATGGCATCCTGGGCTGCATAGGGAAGAGTGTGACCAGTAGG